CTGAAATGACTTGAAATTTATTACAAGACTTGTATAACAAAAAAGTAAATATATTTTTTGGGGTACATATGGTTGATTTTTTTCAGTATTAATGCCATAATCCTCTTCATGTGTAGTAACTAACATAGCACAAAAACTTAAGTGTGATTTAGCACATCTTGTATGTTTATTCTACATCTAGAATTGTCATTCTCTGTAACTAGTTCCTCTCTTAAAATCTGTGTTCCAATACTGCCGGTATCTACTCATACTATAGCTCAACTGTCTTAATTTGAGCCCAACTTTTCTTTTCCAAAACTTAAAACTTGTGTCTTTTCATCATATTTTCTTCAGAATATACCACAAAGAAACCAGAGGACTTTATCCTTTCAATCACTCAAATATCTTTGTACACTCCAGTAAGATCCTTTGTTATCTTTCCATTCTTAAGATAAAATAAGTTAAAATAATTAACATCTTCTTTTAAAATAATCATTCAACATATAAACTAATATATATTCCATTTTGCATTTTGTTATTTTCTTGCCTGCACAATTATTTTATTACTATAATTCAAAGTCATTTTCCTAATGTTTGTCCAACATACCAAGTTATTGAGGACATTCTGAAAACCTTAATTCAGCTAGAAATACTTAAGAGTTTTATCACCATTAGTAAACTTGACTAACTTACTGATTTTGGATTTATCAATATCATTATTATAGATAAGATAAAACTTAGGCCTTTTGTCCAGGTAACATGTAAAATCCTTGAAAAAAAAGATAAGCAATAAAATATTTCCATTTGATGATTAATTGATGGATTTCCTTTAATATATCATATTTCTCTACTTGATTTAGTAAAGCTTCTTTTATCAGACTATATAAATTTTTTCTTGTCACAGAAATAAGGCTAACTTGTTTATGGTTTTCAGGACTTTATCACCCTCTTTTAACATCTGCATACTGATACTACTCATTCTGTATCATTACTTTATTAAGTGTTTTTGACTAGCAACTTTTATGACACACATGTTGTGTCACTACATTGATGAACCTTGTCAACTAGAAATGGTTAGCATGCAACATTGTGAATTTGAAGGTTCATAGCTTGTGTCTCATTGCTGTAAAAATAAGTTCCACACTTTAGAGCCATGAGTGTGTTGTAAGATTGATTGATGATCAGAGCCTACTAGTTGATTAAAGTAGTCCAAACGTTTATGATGAGTGCAGTCAACTAACAGTCTTTTTTCCTAGTTGCAATTACAAAACTAAGATTACTAGTACAGATAACCCTTGTATAACTTTGTGCAAGTATTTAAAAAAAAACTCGCAAAGGAACTATCATAACTCACACTGTATTATTACATTATTTTGGTTCTTCATCTAAAACATTCTTGTTATTATATTTAACCTAGAAACTCTTGAATCATTCTTGCTACTACATTATTGAACCTCTTCATCTAGAAACTCCCTGGCATCACTGGTTACTACATTATTGAACCTCTTCATACAGAAACTCCCTAACATCACTGGTTACTACATTATTGAAAATCTTCATCTAGAAACTCCCTGGCATCACTATTGTTACCACATTATTGAAAATCTTCATTTATGAAACTCCCTGGCATCACTATTGTTACCACATTATTGAAAATCTTCATACAGAAACTCCCTGGCATCACTATTGTTACCACATTATTGAAAATCTTCATCTAGAAACTCCCTGGCATCACTATTGTTACCACATTGTTGAAAATCTTCATCTAGAAACTCCCTGGCATTCACTATTGTTACCACATTATTGAAAATCTTCATCTAGAAACTCCCTGGCATCACTATTGTTACTACATTATTGAAAATCTTCATTCAGCAACTCTAACAAATTAAGCCCAGCCTACAGTTTTAGCATGGAGGGTTGGTGTAGACGTGTGCCTGGTGTTTTCTGCTGTATTTGGGTATGGTGATTAGTATACTCCAACAAAAACAACCAAAACATACAGTATTAGCATGGAAATACATGAACTAATCAGTGATGTTCTTGCTCATTCAGGTTCAGATACAAAATACATCATAATTCTTTGCAGTCTAGATAATCATTAATAAATTCTTTTAAGTAAACAACGACGAAACGTTGCGAACCAAATCTAATAGATTTAATTTGTTCCAACACCTCAGTAGTATTTGTTTGTTTGGTTGGTTTGAATTTCGCGCAAAGCTACACGAGGTCTATCTGTGCTAGCCGTCCCTAATCCTGCAGTGAAAGACTGGAGGGAAGGCAGCTAGTCATCACCACCTACCGCCAACTCTTTTACCAACGAATAGTGGGATTGACCATCACATTATAACGCCTCCACAGCTGAAAGGGCAAGCATGTGTGGTGGGATGAGGATTCTAACCCGCAACCCTCAGATTGTGAGTCGAGCGCCATCAGTGGTATGCACTCAAAATATAATCACAGAAGCCAGTACACCTTTAAATATGACCACATTCTTTTTTGCCGATCAAACATGAGACGGGCATCGTGAATCTGATCAGAACTGTCGATCTCACACCAGTCACAGTTCTTCTTCAAAAGATTATAAATAATTTGTTCATCATAAACCATAAACAATACTAGGTTTATTTGTTAATGCACATGCTGTATTTCATTCATAAACTGAATATGTCTGCTCACATAAACTAAGCCATTCATTTTCGCTGAATACACGGTAGATAAAGGACTTGGATTTCCATTATTTAAACAGAAAGTAAAATAATCGACACAAATAACATGCTGGAATGTGTTTATCAAAAAAATTTTGAGTAAGCAGGAACGGACGGCAGCTGAAGACTTTGAAACGTCTATTTGCAAGTGTACTTGTGATTTTTACAACAGACAATTGCCGTTCATTCCATTTTACTCATCATGAATAACTCTGCCTAAAAATCTATCAAAGAACGTTTTATTTGTTTTACTCGCATCACTACTACATACTGAAGGAAATAGCTGCTTAAATTCCTCCCATTCTTTGTGGCTAAAAGTTATTTTATTTTTTTTGTAGTAGTATATTTTGGTGTTGCTGTTTGTGATGGATGTTGATCTATAGAATTTGACAGATATATTTAGTGCTGTATCTGACAGAAACTGATCGATCGTTCCCCAACAGAATGATATTGACCTTTGGGTTGGTAATTTAAAGATCAATAACATGAACTCATTACCGAAACAACAGAATTGAGCAAAGAAAATTATATAACTCCAGGTAACAGATACAATACTTATAACCTAAAAAAAAGATTAAGAAAAACATAATAATAAAGGAAAACCCTTCTATTCGATTGTATTAAGATGGAGATAATGTTTTTTAATTTGTATTATTTAATTCTTGCCACAATTAGAAACAAACTGAAGCTGAGCAACATGTTTATTATGGTGACTAATGTGAAATTTTCTAGTTACTAATGTTCTTCAAATCCCATTCCAGCTTTGTGTGAGAAAAGTATGTGACAGTTACATACCACTGCCTAAATCACCTAGAAAAGCATTTAAGAATGGATTCCGCTAATTAAGCGTATATTTCACAATCACTCAATTTCCTTATTTTCACTGTAACGTGCAAGCACAAATCAAATATGAAGGATATTATGACGTTTATGGAGGGGAAATATATGAAGCAGAAAATTGTCATCCCATTACCTAGAAAATGTTTTCGAAGGTCCTTTTTAGTATCAATAATACTGTCGTAACTTCACGCACGGTCGACTTTTAGGTCAAGTGTTTATTTTGTTCTTAGGTACAGTTTTACTAAGTAAACCTATCTAAGCAAATTGTTATTGTCCCAGGTTGGCTATTTGCAAATCTTACCTTCGCTAAACAGTGTGAAATATAGTGGGGGATGAAGCGCAGAATTTGCTGTTATGTTAAACTTCATTACCCATTCAAGCCGTCTCCAAGTATCTTTTATATTTATTGAATACTTTGTCATTTTTTTAGAAAAGAGTGGAGGTTGGGAGTAATCTATAGTATAATTTTTAGAGTGGTTTTATTGTTATTGTTTTACTTTAGAAACTATTAGAAGTTTTAAGGGTTGGGGTTGGGAAAAACTTATAGCAGAAAAATGTTTAGGGTGGTCTTATTTTTTTCTACTTTTGATATTAGAAGAACTTTTAAGTGTAACTGCCTCCCACAACTGGCTGCAGATGGTGAAAGGCAGTAAGAGTTGAGACGTTGTGGGTATAAGCACCCAACTCCACACCCTTATTTGATTTTCCATGACTGCCAACTCATCTGCATTTGGATTTGGTCTGATAAATGGGATATGTGTCAACGCTTTTGGGTGGTATCAACCCAGACAATTTCCGTTATGACTTTAAGATTACAACTGGAAAATAGGAATGGAATTTTAAAACCACTACAGATTTTGAACTTATTCAGTCAATCATACAGCCTATCACTACAGATTTTGAACTTATTCAGTCAATCATACAGCCTAACACTACATATTTTGAAACTGTCCAGACAATCATACAGCCTATCACTACAGACTTTGAACTTATCCAGTCAATCATACAGCCTATCACTACAGATTTTGAAACTATCCAGTCAATCATACAGCCTATCACTACAGATTTTGAAACTGTCCAGACAATCATACAGCCTAACACTACATATTTTGAAACTGTCCAGACAATCATACAGCCTATCACTACAGATTTTGAAACTATCCAGACAATCATACAGCCTAACACTACATATTTTGAAACTATCCAGATAATCATACAGCCTATCACTACAGATTTTGAACTTATCCAGTCAAACATACAGCTCATCACCACCAATGTTGAACTTATCCAATCAATCATACAGCTCATCACCAACAATGTTGAAGTTATCAAATCAATTATACAGATTTTGAGCCTATCCCAGCAGTCATACAGTCTGCCACTACAGATTTTGGATTTATTCAGTCAGCACTGGCAATCCAAAACAACTAAGCTGTACTGGTGAAAATATTTATACAAATTATTCCGGACAGGCAGTACATGCTGGATAGCCTTTATTCTATAAACAATGGTCACAAGCTCTTATCTACAGTTCGTCAGTTATTTTCAAAAACATGATAATTTATGGTGGTCTTTTCTTGTTTTCTGCTCTTGCTGTATTGCCTTTTCCTGGGTTAATAGGTACTTGATATGGTGATGTTGATAGGCAAGTTTTTGTTGAAGCTGACAATGTACAACTTTGTCCCTGTGGTAATAAGAAACATCAATGAAAGTTACTATAAACATTTCATAATTATTGAAAATTATGAATTTGTTTAAAACATTTCTATTCAAAACAAAACTGCTGTTGTTACCCATAAGAAAGACTTTCCAAAAAAATCATAATGGTTTATATACAAATAGCATATACCTGTCAAAGCAGGGCAAACAGCTTTCCAGAAAATCATAAAGGCAAAATATGAAATATTACATATTTGCAAAAGCATGACAAAAACCATCCACAGAACAATAAAGGTGAATATCTGTCAAAACATGATGAAAAGTTTTCCATAAATATAATATGAAAATGGTGCATACCTGCTAAAACATAACAAAAACTTTCCCAAAAATAATAAAGACTAAATTTAAAACGGTACAAAGAGATTTATAGAAAGTGTAAAAGGTGATATGAAAATTATGCATACCTGTTCATGTTTCGTGCTATTGATCCCTGAAGATGTTTAATTTCTTTTTCAGCTTTTCGAAGTTCTTCACTGACTTTCACAGACTAAATAATTTAGAACAAGAAATCTTTTATTTCAGTACAAAAACATGGAATATATTTTTGTGAAATCACATAAACCCATTATAATTACAAAAGAAAACCACATTTTATTAATTTTTTATACTTGTTTTATTACTACTCAGAGGAGTTTAGCTGAAACATTTGGTAAAGAACTACACCATCAAGTAACTTAGGTACCAAAATTATCTATCATTAATAAGTATACATAAAGAACAGAATCAAAGCTTGTAGCATTAATAAAAGTATGGGAAGAAAAGAACTGTATTTTGTATTAATACAAACAATACAGCTAAATCAGAGAAATTATAAACACTGCAACAATATAGCTAAATCAGAGAAATTATAAACACTGCAACAATATAGCTAAATCAGAGACAATAAACACTGCAACAATACAGCTAAATCAAAGAAATTATAAACACTGCAACAATATAGCTAAATCAGAGACAATAAACACTGCAACAATATAGCTAAATCAGAGAGAAATTATAAACACTGCAACAATATAGCTAAATCAGAGAGAAAAACACTGCAACAATATAGCTAAATCAGAGACAATAAACACTGCAACAATATAGCTAAATCAGAGAGAAATTATAAACACTGCAACAATATAGCTAAATCAGAGACAATAAACACTGCAACAATATAGCTAAATCAGAGAGAAAAACACTGCA